AAATAGCTTCTTATTAAACAATGAATGGATTACCAATGAAATCAAGGCAGAAATACAACACTTTCTGGAGCCTGTCTGGCATGGCTCAGTGCTTTAGAGTCAACCTGTGATCAGGAGATCACAGTTCAATCCCTGGTAGGGGCATATGCCCAGGTTATGAGCTCAATCCCCAGTAGGGGACGTGCAGAAGGCAACCCATCAATGATTCATTATTGATGTTTCTATGTCTTTCTCCCTCTCTTTCCCTTTCTCTCTCTGAAATCAACAAAGACATACAAAAAGAGAAAACAAAACACTTCCTGGAAACAAATGAAAATTGACACACAACAACCCAAAATCTGTAACACAGCAAAAGCACTCTTGAGAGGGAAGTTCATAGCATTACAGGCCTACCTCAATAAAGAAAAGAAAGCTCAAATAAACAACTAACTCTACAACTAAGTGAATTAGAAAGAAAACAACAAAAAAGCCCAGAGTAAGTGGAAGGAAGAAAATACTAAATATCAGAAAGAAAATAAATGATATGGAAACTAAAAAAAAACAAAAATAAAACCAACAAAATCTCAGAGAAACCAAGAGCTGGTTCTTTGAAAAGATAACCAAGATTGATGAACCTTTAGCCAAGTTTATCAAGAAAAAAAAAAAAGAGAGACATCCCAAATAAATAAAATCAGAAATGAAAGAGACAAAATAACTGACATCCCAGAAATACAAAGGAGTGTAAGAAACACATTGAACATCTATATGACAACAAATTGGACAAACTGCTCAAAACAGGCATATCCCTAGAAATATATAATCTTCCAAAACTGAATCAGGAAGGATTGGAAAACCTGAAAAGGCCAAAAACAACTAATGAAATTTAAGCAGTAATCAAAAAACTCCAAGAAAACAAAAGTTCTGGTCTGGATGGTTCACAGGGAAGTTTTACCAAATATTCAAAGAAAAATTAACACCTATCCTCCTCAAACTTTTCCAAAAAGTCCCAGAAGAAGGAACACTTCCAAACTCTTTTATAGGGGCCAGCATTATCCTAATTCCAAAAGCAGGTAAAGGCCCTACAAAAGAAGAGAATTATAGTTAAGTATCCCAGAAGAACATAGATTCTCAACAAAATATTAGTAAATAGTATACAACAATACATTTAAAGTATCAGACACCATGACCAACTGGGATTTTTTTCTGGGGATGCAAGGATGGTTCAATATTCTCAAATCAAAAAACATGATATACCACATAAACAAATGAAGGATAAAAATCATGTGACAATATCAATAGATGCAGAAGTAGCATTTGACAAAATCCAACACCATTTATGATAAAAACTCTCAGCAGTATGGGAATAGAAAGATCATACCTCAACATAATAAAGGCCATATATGATGAATGTACAGCCAACATCATACTCAATGGGCAAAAACTAAAACCATTTCTCTTAAGATCAGAAACAAGACAAGGGTGTCACCACTCTTATTTAACATAGGAGTGGAAACCCTAGCCACAGTGATCAGACAAGAAGAAATAAAAGGCATCCAATTGGAAATGACGAAGTAGAACTGGCATTGTTTGCAGGGGACGTGATAATGTACATAGAAAACCCTATAGACTCTGCCAAGTAACTGCTAGATTTAATAAATAATTTCAGCAGTGTAGAAGGATGCAAAATTAACACCCATAAAGCGATAGCATTTTTATAAACCAATAATGAACTCTCAGAAAGAGAAAGTAACAAAAACAATCTCATTTCCCATTGCAACAACAACAACAAAAGAAGATACCAGGGAATAAACTTAACCAAGGAGGTAAAAGACCTGTACTCAGAAAAGTAGATCATTGAAAAAAAAAAGAGAGGGAGAGAGAAACAAGTGAAAGTACATACCATGTTCAGGGATTGGAAGAATTAACAGAACTAAAATGTCCACACTTCCCAAAGCAATCTACAGATTCAATGGAATCCCTATTGAAATACCAATGGCATATTTCACAGATTAGGAACAAATATTCCAAAATTATGTATAGAAGAAAAAAAAAATACCCCGAACAGCCACAGGAACCTTCAGAAAGAAAAGCAAAGTTGGAGAGATCACAATACCAGATATCAAACTATACTGCAAAGCCATTGTAATCAAAACAGCTTGGTACTGGCAGAAGGGCAGACATATAGACCAATAGACTAGAACAGAGACCCCAGATAAATATGGTCAAGAAATATTTGACAAAGGAGTTAAAAGTATACAATGGAGGAATGATAGTCTCTTCAATAAATGGTGTAGAGAAAATTGGACAGGTACATACAAAAAAAGTGAAGCAAGATCACCAACTTACTCCATACACAAGAATAATCTCAAAACTGATAAAAGACTTAAATGTAAGTCACAAAACCAAAAAAATCCTAGAAGAAAAATCTCAGACATCTCTGGTAGCAGTATTTTCATGGGTAAGGCACTTAGGACAAGGGTATCAAAGAAAAATATTAACAAATGGGACTATGTCAAACTACAATCTCCTGCACAGCAAAAGAAACCATCAGCAAAATGAAATGGTAACCTACTGTATAAGAAAACATATTTGCCTATGATACACCTGGCAAATTGTAAGGGGTTAATTTCCAAAATACACAAAGAACTCACAGAACGCAATACCAGGGAAACAAATAATCCAATTTAAAAATGGGCAAAGGATCGGAATAGGCACTTCTCCAAAGAGGACATACAAATGGAAAATAGATATATGAAAAAATGCTAACATCACTAATCATCAGAGAGATGCAAATTACAACTAAAGTGAGGTTTCACCTCACACCTGCCTGAATGGCTGCCATCAATAACTCAACAAACAAGTCCTAGCAAGGATGTGGAGAATAGGGAACCCTAGTACACTGCTAGTGGGAACGCAGACTGGTATAGCCACTACGGAAAACAGTGTAAAAGTTCCTCAAAAAATTAAAAGTGGAACTGTCTTTTGACCCAGTGATCCCACCTCTGGAAATATATGCACCGTTTTGTTCATAGGGGCACTATTTACAACAGTTAAGATCTAAACTGTCCAAGGGCATATCAGTGGATGAGTGGATTAAAAAGCCATGGTATATTTACACAATGGAATAGTATATGGTTATAAGAAAGAAGGAGCTCTTACCTATTCAGACAATATGGATGGACCTGGAGATTATTATGCCAGTCAGAATAAGCCAATTAGAGAAAGAAAAATATCATATGATCTCACTTATATGTGGAATCTAATTAACAAATAAACTAACAAGATAGGTCCAAAGATATGGATGCATAGAACAGAATAATAGATCTCAATGGTTGGGGTTGGAGGGAACAGGAATTAGATTAACCAAAGTACATATATGCATATATGCATAACATATGGATACAGACAATGGTATGAGGAAGACCTGGGGTGGGGCAAGGGTTGGGCGGAGCGTGGCAGATAGTGAGAAAATGACAGGCACCTCTAATACTGTCAACTATAAAAAAAACCAAAAAACTAAACAACAACAACAACNACAGACAATGGTATGAGGAAGACCTGGGGTGGGGCAAGGGTTGGGCGGAGTGTGGCAGATAGTGAGAAAATGGGAGGCACCTCTAATACTGTCAACTATAAAAAAAAAACAAAAAACTAAACAACAACAACAAAAAACATTACAAAAGACACACAAAAAAGCCAAAAAGGGAGCTGACTGAATTGGAGATGANCAAAAAACTAAACAACAACAACAACAAACATTACAAAAGACACACAAAAAAGCCAAAAAGGGAGCTGACTGAATTGGAGATGATATTTGCAAAAAACAACTCAGACAAGGGGTTAATGCCCAAAGTATAAAAAAAAACTCATAAAACTCAACATCAAACAATCCAAATAAAAAATGGGCAGAGGACCTGAACAGACACCTCTCCTAAAAATGCATATAAATGGCCAATAGATCAATGAAAATATGTTCAACTTCACTAGCTATTNCCTGAACAGACACCTCTCCTAAAAATGCATATAAATGGCCAATAGATCAACTTCACTAGCTATAAGGAAAATACAAATCCAAACTACAATGAGATACCATCTCACACCTGTTAGAATGGCTATTAGGAGCAAGACAAGTAATAACAAGTGTTGGAGAGGTTGTGGAGAATAGGGAACCCTCATTCACTGCTGGTGGGAATGTAGACTGGCACAACCACTATGGAAAACAGCCTGTCTGGTCCTCAAAAAATTTAAAATAGAGTTATCATATGAAACAGCAACCAATCTCCTGGGTATCTATTCGAAAACTCAAAAACATGTATTCACAAAGATATATACACCCTTAATGTTCATTGCAGCATTATTCACGGTGGCCAAGTCACGGAGTCAACCAAAGTGTCCTTCGATGGAGAATCAGATAAAGAAGAAGTCGGACATGTACACAGTGGAATACTACTCGGCCATAAGAAAGACAAGCTCCTGCCATTTGCAATAACATGAGTGGACCATGAGAATATTATTTTAAGTGAAATATGTCAGGTAGAAAAATCTAAGAACCATATTATTTCACTCAGATTTGGGTCATAAAATGAAACTCATGGACATAGGCCGCGGTTAACGTTACAAGATGAAATGGCGTATGGGGCTATTGGGGGTGAGGGGACAAATATACGGTGATAAAATGTGGTTTGATTTTGGGTGGTAGACACACAGTTCAATATACAGATCTTGTATTATAGAAATGTACACTTGAAACCTATATAATTCTATTAACCAATATCATTCCAATAAATTTAATAAAAATTTTAAAAAATAAAACTTCGGCCAACATGAGTGCCTTCCTAAGTAAAAAACCAAAAGTTATCATTCTTCCTTAGTTTTCTATGAAATAGAAATTATGAACTATATATTTTTCTCTATCATGTGATACTTAGTAGCATGATGGTTTACTTACTTTAAGAGCTTAATTATGTATCTTAGAATCCGGGAGAATTGTCATGCTCAAGTAAATGTACTCACCATGGTACAATGATGTCTTCAGCCAGCCTGCAAGGGAAAAAATGAGGAAATATTATTCCCCTTTTCTGGACCTTCTCTATCTTTTCCTCTCTTCTCATCACCGTCATTCCCTAAGTCTTCAATTGCATATATATCTCTCTGTCCCTTCCTTACCTAAAAAAACGTGTGGCCATTCTTTTCCTGAACTTAAAAATGGTTGGGTTTGAGTATGTGTGGAAAAATGTAAAGTCAGAAGAAAAGACAAGCTAAAAGCAAGAGAAGAAAGAAAATGAAGAAGATAGAAAATAAAGAAATGATGGACAGAAAGGAAGATAACTTAGAAATAAAGATAGTAAAAAAAAGATGAAAGATGGAAGGAAGAGGGGAATTCAGGACAGAGTGAAGGAATAAAGGATTAGAGGGAGAGTGAAACAGGGGAGAAAGTCATAAGAAAAGAGAAATAAAGAAAAGCTCGGGAAATATTCATTAAGACAATTATATTTTTTTCTTTCCCTTCTCAGTAAAAGGGTATTTCAAATTGGTGGTGGTGGTGGGGGGTGGTGAGTTAATCAGCTGTTACAGATCCCTTCCATTTGTCCACAGGCAAGGGTGCATATGCAGGACATTCTGGAAATGGGATGTAGAGAAGGGTTAGGTGTCTTATTCTTTGTGGAATTTGACCCATGAATAAACTTCTGAGATACTTATCATTCCTAAATCGAGCTTTCCTCTCACCTGAAAGGAGATGAACTCATAAACTGGGGCAGGGCACTCACAGAGATCGAGGTGCAGAACCAAAGGCCAGCATTCACCTCAGAGATTTTCCATAATCATTGCTACCACATTAGTCTAGCCAGCGCTCTGCTCTGAAACTGTGCCTCATGAATGAAATAAAGTTGCATCACACAATTTTAAGGACTTGATCAAGACAAGCATGTAAATTGCACGATCATTGCAATACAGAGAGGCGACAGAGAAATGTAAAAGTGGGGGAAAGGATGCAGCGAAGCAAAGAATCACTGCAGGATGATTTAATCTTGCACATATTTTAACTATTAGAATACAATTACCAATTTCCTTTTGCAATTTTTCTGAAAACAAAAGTGAAAACCCTATTTTAATGTCATAGAGAAGAGAAAAATTAAGCTTGTTTGGAAGGATTACAGACAATGATGTAAACTAGCTTATTAAGGGTTAAAAAACCCTCACCTTTTCCTTCTGGGACACTTATTAAAAAACAAAGAAAACATATCACATGTTTACATAAATAATTTTACAGTTGAAATTCAAGAAGGAAATTATAAATTTCCCAGTGAATTATTCTTTTTCAACTAATTTATATTCATACTAATGAATATCATCAGCAATGTTGTCATGGATACAACATCTGTACACTAGAAACTACAACTTCTTCATTGCTTCCAATGAATTAGGTATTTGCTAACGTCTTCATGTAATTAGTCAATTGAATGCTAGGAAAATAACTACTAAGCAGTATATTGGTTTATGGAAAAATGATCGGAGAATCAAAGAGGTCAATATCACAACAGGGTTGCTATTGGTAAATGGGCAGATCAATTATTTGAGCCGAGGTATGTTAAACTGCAAAATGAAGACTCCTAATTAGGACGTCATAACCCTCCACTCCTGATCCAGCCAGCTGAGGCTTCAATCACAGGGTGAGAACGGTGACATCCTCTACAAGGAACCAGCTGTTGCCCCCTCCTTTTTTTTAAAGAGTGTCTTGCTACATAGAAGAGTTTTTCTTTGAATCAGATTGTGGGCACAGCAAGCACCATGACAGTTCCTTCAAATACATTCTATAAGAATTTCACTCATCTCAGAGCCTCAAGAAGGAGGTCTCGTTAGCATCATAGAGGTAGCTAAAAAATTATATATTAGATAAAGAGAAGGGTGAATGGGGAAATGAGTTAACTAAGGGGAAAGAACAAAGAGAGAAATAGGTAAGAGAAGTTGTAATACAGTAAAAGGAATGACAACCACAAAGGAGAAAATTATACAGAGAAAGTAGCAGGAATGAAGAAAAAGGAGGAAGCCAGCCAAAGCACTATAGAAGGTAATATCTTGTCGTTAAATGTTAGCATTGTCTTTCATAAGCTGATCTAAAAAGTAAAAATATTAACATAAGAATCACTATGAAACAGACAATAGGAAGATCATATCTTGTAAAGAGTCATTAACTTTACCATTGTGTTTGCCAGGTTGATCTGAAAAATAAAAAGAGTAATATAAGAATCACTGTGAAACAGAAACTAACCAAACAGAAAAAAAAACTTTTCACCTATTCTACATATAATAGGTTAGCCATTTCAGGGGAAAAACTTACACTTATTTTCTAGGTGTTTACTGAAAAATCTAATGGGGTCTTCATTGATTTAAGTTCAATGGTAAAATAGATTAAAAATTTTAAATTTAATATGACTGAACTTAAAATCCCCCAAATTATTTCCTGAAGTGTTTTTTGAGACATGATATCATCATTATCATCAGCAGCATCACCATCATCATCACTCCCACCACCACGGCCAGCATTACCATTAACATTCTTTGAGGGCTTTCTCCGTACCAGGCTCTGTGATACATGTTTTGTGTGAGCAGCATCATATTTTATTATCAAATTACTCCCAAATTAAATTATTACACTTATGCAGAAGAGCAACATGAGATTATAGCAATATATTCCTTACTGAGTCCCCACAGTACCTTATTTCAGAGTTTGAATTTTATCCAAAGTATGACATTAAATTTAATGGTTTTATCCAATAAAATAATCTGTTCTGTTTTCTCTACTAACTCTATGCCCTCCAACATTATTGAAAAAGTAGCTTTTCATCTTCTGTGTTGAACATGCTAAACAATGGGTGAACCTTAGTAATGAATTCATATTCCAAGGTAAAGCCACTTTGGATACGCTCTGTCCCTGGATATGGTTTGATAAAAAGTGAGCTTCACTTTAGGTTGATAAGATATAGATCCAGCCATTATTCTGGAGAACATCAAAGTGACAGATTATGAAGATTTTTTTCTTCAGAAAAATTCAGTTCTCAAAAGGTAAAACATTAACTGTCTTTTGATCTGTGTGATGTGTGGATTCCTAGATCACCAAGCGCACATAGCAATAGAAGTCATACTGGGAAGATTCAGATAAGATTCATATTTCCATTCACTTCTTATTTTCAACTCCCCAGTGCGCTGTAATCCTTCATGGCCTTGGCACTAATATGTCTGTCTGCAGCCTCTTAAGGGCTTATATGGGAGAGTAGACTGCCCCTTCTGGTCTATGGCTCTGTGCGGTCACTCCGATATGTACTAATATCCCATCCATTTCCTGTTTCCTACAAATTTTAGAACTATTTTGTCTGCTTCTGACCTCAGCCTCATTCCCTTTGCAAGTGTTTGTTTTGACCTTCTTTATAATATAATTTTCACATTAGCAGGTCTCTCTGGTAGAGAAGATTTCAGTTGTTAGCTGTATTTTTAACCAAGTTACTCCAATGATTTATAATAAAATATATTTTTAATTTAACCTTCTATGTGATAAAAGAGAGAAAATATGGCATAAATTAGCCTGTGTAATTTGTTATTAGGGAAAAATATTTTCAGTAGAAGTCAAAGCACCAGTGTAAAGTTGCACTCTCCTAATGCAGTGCTATGCAATACTATGTAACACTTACCAAGGGTGTGGAAAGATTTTGGTAGACCCTCAAAAAGTTAAACATAGTGTATTACATACATTTTCACTTCAACCACTTTATTTGAAAATCCAATGAGTGATTTAACATGATGTTTGTTTGTTTTCTGTTAGACACTTAAAGTGCTCTGAAAAGGGTCTGCAAAACCCTCCAACCATTAAATCATATAGACAGTCTCTCATTCATTTTTTAAAGTTCTGCTGCATGTATAGCATTTACTTAAAAATGTATCAAAGGCATAAATGCTAGAGTTTAAAACTAAAAAACTGTTAGAAGAAAACACCTTCACAACCATGGGTTTGAGAATGGATTCTTAGAAATGACAACACAGAAGCAACAAAAGGGAAAAATACACAAAACAAAAAATTGAAAACTTCTGTGCATCAAAAGATAAAAATGTGAAGAGACAATATATAGAATGGGAGAAAATCTTTGCAAATTATATATTTTTAAAGACCTAGTATGAAGAATAAAAAGAAACAAAACTTTTCCAACTCAGTAACAAAAAGGAAAACAACCGATTTTAAAAATGAGCAGAAGCACCCGGCCGGGGCGTGGCTCAGTGGTTGAGCTTCGACCTAGGATCCAGGTGATCGGGGTTTGATTCCAGGTCAGGGCACATGCCCAGGTTGCAGGCTCGATCCCCAGCAGGTGGTGTGCAGGAGGCAGCCGATCAATGACTCTCTCATCATTGATGTTTCTCTCTCTCTCTCCCTCTCCTTTCCTTTCTCTGAAATCAATAAAGATATCTTTTTTAAAAAATAAAAATAAAAAATGAGCAGAAGACTTGAAGACATTTCTCCAACGCTATATGACTAAGAGGACATTTAAAAAGATGCTCAAGCCCTGGCTGGCGTGTGAGCGGTTAGAGCATCGGCCAGCACACTCTAGGGTCGCAGTTTGATTCCTGGGCAAGGGTGCAAACCTGGGTTGCAGGTCCTAACCCTACCCTGCGTGTGGGGGAGGCAACCAACCAATCGATTGAGTCTTTGTCCTATTGATGCTTTTCTCTCTCTCCCCTTCCTGCCTCCCTTCTACTCTCTCTAAAATCAATGGAAAAAAATATCCTCACTCCTCCAGTGAGGACTAAAAAATATATTAAATAAATAAATAAATAAATAAATAAATAAATAAATAAATAAATAAATAAATAAATAATAAATAAATAAAAAGATGTTCAACTTCTTTTGTCAGGGAGAAGGGAGATTCAAATCAAAACCACAAGGAAATTCCACTTTACAGGCACTAGTAAGGGTATAATTAAAAAATAAATAAATAAAAAATAACAAGTGTTGGTGAGGAAGTGGAAAAATCTGAACTCTAATATATTGCTAGTTGTAATGGACAATGGCGCCATCTCTGTAGGAAACAGTTTGGCATATCCTCAAAAAGCTAAACATAGTATACTTATGACCCAGCAATTCGAATCCTAGGTCTGAATATTTGTACGAGAGAATTCACAGTAGCTCTATTCACAATAGCATGATGTAGCCCAAGCCCAAGTGTTCATCAGTGGATTTATGGACAAGGAAAACGTGGTATAGCCATACAAGGAAGTATTTACTCAGCCATAGAAAGGAATGAAGTGCTGGTACACGCTGCAATATGAATGAACCTGGGAAACTTTGTTAGTGAAGGAAGGCAGACACAAAACTCGCATATTGTATAATTCCATGGAAATGAGATCATAGGAAATAGGTAAATTCACAAAGAACAAAAGCAGACTAGTGGTTGCCAGAGGCTAAGGGATGGGGGATTGAGAAGGGACTTCCTAACGGGTATGGGCAGGTAAAATTCTTTTGGAAATAGATGGAGGCGATAGTTACACAGTATTGAGAATGCACTAAAGGCCACTGAATTACACATTTCAAGATGGTTAATTTAACGTCATATGAATTTTACCTCCATAATAGTAAAAAATAAATCAATAGAAACAAATTATAGATAAAGTAACAGAGGGTTAAATCAATTAGTTTGCTCATCGGCAAAGCTCTTGATTCAACAAAATCCCAAGATACCCATAGTGTTGGTCTCATGGAGTCAAGGGCTGGCATTGCTTTAGTTACATAATTTGTATTTATTTAAAAGTAAAAGACCCACGGCGGTCTTTCTTATTTTCTTTCTTCATCATTTATGAAAAAGAGTAGACAAAAATTTGGACAATTTGTAAAAACCAAAAGGAAAAAAAATATTACAGATTAAATTAAAGCAAATTTCAAATGAAGTAATAGTTCAGTGTTTCAAATAGGTTAGTGTAATAGGCAAATGTTTTATTCTATATAATGGGGAGAAGCTGAAACCCTTTGTTGTTACTGTCTAAATCTGGGTTTACCACATTTTATCCTTTGTGAGAGATCAGGATTTGAATCTCACAATTTTATATTAATCTTTCTGTAAACAAAAAATAAAATATTGATTAAATAAAATAATTACAGTAATTTGTAAATAAATTAGCAGGTGATCAAATAGTAGTTCTTTTAGGGACAAAACTCTATTTCTACATAGCCGAGGTACTGAGAGCGTTGCTTTCATGTAAGCCAGGACTGGTTTTCCTTCCTTCATGTTTTCTGTTTTGGAGGAGATTGCTTCCCCTTTCTTCCTTCTTTTCTCTGAATAAACACTAGACAAATTCATTTGTTTTAAACACACTGATACAACTTACACATGAATTAAAAGAGCTTCAAATTAATTAGGTTATTAATTAATTACACCTTTTGTATATGGATGAAGATAAAGCACTTTTCCTTCACGTTTTCTAAAAAAAAAAAAAAAAGAAGAAGAAAAATTTGATTTTCAAAATGGATAAACCCTCATCTGATTTGTACTCACTTTGTCCTCTTATTATTTACTCCCTTAAGGTGGCAGAACTTCCTTTTGCATTTTTTATTAAACAAATATTCTGGCAACTAATTCCTTGACTTTCTTTCTTCCATGCATGGGTATCTTTATTTTTGTCACTATTGCTGTTGGCTGTTTTCACTGGATACATACACTACTGTGTGGTCAGACTTTTTTTTTCCCCCCCGACAGGATTTAAAAAATAATGTTCCTTCACTGTGTTCTTGTTCCCATAATTTTTTGTGCAAAATCACCTGGTTTTGCATAATTTCTCCTCTGTTGTTTTCTTTTATATGCTTTCAAGAGTTATTTCTTTATCTTTGGTTTTCAAAAATTATGATTGTGATATACCTACACATTTGGTATTGTTTGAGTTTACTCTCCTTGTATTTTTCCAAGCATTTTGCAACTTTAAATTTAGATCCTTCACCGAGTTTGAGAAAAACATGGCATTCTTTTTCAAACATGTTTTGTGCCCCATTCCATTTCCTCCCCTCTGGAAATCTCATGATTTTTGTGTTAAACCTTTTGATATCATCTCACAGTTCCCCCAGAGCTCTCTGTTCATAGCTTATATTTTTGTCCTCTCTGTTCTTCAAATAAGAAAGATTCTGTGATTTGTCTTTCAGTTTCTGGTTTTTTAACTTGGACATCTAAATTCTGCTCTTGAGCCAATACAGTAATATTTACATTTCAGATATTATAGTTTGTAGTTCTAACATTTTGATTTAGCTATTTCTTTTGAGTATTCCTGCTGTGAATTTTTATTCCTTCTATTTCAGGTGACTTTTACTTTAATTGATGTAGCACAACAATCATAGTGTTTTCTTCTTTTTTAAAAACTTGCATGTAAAGCCATGTGTATCCTTCACCCAGATTTTCTTAATGATAATAACATCTTCTATAATTGTAGCAAAATTTCAAAGACAAGTAATTGGCATGGGTGCATTATTGTTAATTATGCAACATACTCATTTAGCCTACACCATTTTTCCACACATTGGCATGTGTGTGTGTGTTTATGAAATTTCCCCTCATATATATACAAGTAACTATCACCACAATCAAAATACAGAGCTACTCCAAAATCACAAAGAAAATCTCGTGCGCAGTCCTCTTATATTCCCACTCCACACCCCTGTTCTTCTCCTGCCCTTGGCAACCACTAATCTATATACTATCTCTATAGTTTTGTCATTTTCCAAATGTTATACAATCATACAGATAGATTTTTTTCTCTAAGCATAATGTCATTGAATTCCATCAAGTTTGTTGTATGAATTATTAGTCTATTCAATTTCATTACAGAATAGCATTTAACTGTATGAGTATACCACAGTTAATTTAAAGCATTCTTCCATGGAAGGATTTTTTTTTTGTTTCCATGTTTTTCTGTTAAAATTTGTAAAGTTGTTATACATATCTGCATAAAATATCTTGTGTGAACATAATTTTTTATTTCTTTAGAATAAATGTGTAAGGGTATGATTGTTGATGCATATACTAATTGCATATTTATTTTTTAAGAAAATGCCCACATTTTAATAGAGTGGCTCTACCACTTTACATTCTATCAGCAATGTTAGAAATTTAGTTTCTTTGTATCCTCACCAGCACTGGATATTTTTCCATTTTGTTGTTAAATTTTATGTGTTTTAAAATGTGCTTTTCCCTGTTAAATATACTTATTTATACTGTCAATATTAAAGACGCATTTCTAGACCATTTACAATTTGGGGAATGATACACTTTATGAATTGTGGTTTGTCAAAATCTCTCTTAAACTGTGGTGCCCAGAACAAAATAAATGAGTTCTAATCAAAATGAAAAGTAAACAATAGAGTGAGACAGTCACATCTCTTGCCTCTGATTTTGCTTTTACACTGGGAAAGTCAGATCCTGGTCATCTCGGTTATAATCACCATTCAGGAGCCATGTCAAAATCGGCCAGAGTAGAGGATACTTCCCTTAAGATATCATCACTTTATATACTTACTAACTTACCACTTATGTGACCTTTATTCTGGAATATATGAAAAATAAAGCAAAACACAAGCCAGTAGAGCAGAGAAGTAGAAGCTTCAGTGGTGGTGTGTACAGCATCTACTTCATGGTAGAAACCTGAAAAAGGAATGCCAGAGAACTTCCTTAGTGCTATCCAGAGCAACCTTATTGCTGTTTTTATAACATAATTATTATTCTATATTTCATCTATCTTGTGAGTCTGTGACCACTTTTCACTCTTCATAGACAGAGTTGAAGGATCCCATCAGTCCTAAGTACCAGAGCAATGGATGAACTAACTGGAGCAGCCCCTCAGAGGATAGTCTAGGAAGGAATATCTCAGGATAGGCCAAAGGTTAGGGAGGTACTTCATGATTCGGAAGGATTTCTGAGTGTGGACAGCTCATAGTAAATGGGGGAATCTCTACCAAGTCCCAGGTCTGCCTTCATCGCTTTGCTATTCCTTACGAAGCCAAATCTGGTATAGGGCAGAGATTGGTAAACTAAGGCCCACAAACCAAATGAACTCTGATATGTATTCTTAGAAGGCTATGATTTCAAAATGGGTTTCGCAATTTTAATCATTGAAAAAATGAAAAAAATAGAATATTACTTGTAACACAAAATAGTGTAAAATCTAATTTTACTGAACATAAAACTCAGCTACGCTCATTCACATGCATGTGGTCTATAGCTGCTTTTTCAGTATAATCACAGAGGCGAGTAGTTGCAAACTTTCACTTCAGCTTTACCCAGCAGTAGTAAAGTGCCTCTATCCTTCTAGGGTGTTAATAAATGCAGAGTGAGTAACTTATACTTCCACCTCCATTTAACATTAATGAGGTGATGCTATATTTCTTCCATTCATCAAACCATTTGAGGCTTGAAAAAAACAGATAATTTAAAGAAAATCCATAATCTCATAACATAACCCACAAAATGTCCAGCATACTATAGAAAATCACTCTTCATAGATGGGAGAAATAGGAAAATATTAATTTGAATGAAAAAAGACAATTACTAAACACCAACACCAAAATGGCAAAGTTGACTGAGTGATGTGACAAGGATTTTATGGTGGTCATCATAAAAGTAATCAATTATGAACACACTTGTAACAAATGAAAAAATAGTCTTAGGAAATGAACAGAGGGTAAAAAGAAGAACCAAATAGAAATTTAATAACTGGAAAATTCAATATCCAAAATAAAATACTCAGTGAATGGGCCTAGAGAATAGAAATAACAGAAGAATAAATCAGTGAACTTGAAGACTGAAAATGCTAATTATCTAATCTCAACAGTAGAGAAGAAATAGCCTGAAATAAATGCACGAAGATTCAGGGACCTGTTGGGCTTTCAAAAAAGAACTAATGTTCATGTCACTGGGCTCACAGGACAAGAGAAATAATGTAGAGCTAAAAAAGTATTTGAAGCAATGATGGCTAAAAGTTTTCCAAAGTTGGAAATGGACACTAACCTACAGATTCAATAAACTGAGCAAACCACATGTAGAATAAACCCAAATAAATCCATGCCAAGACGTATCATAATCCAATTTCAGAAAACTAAAGACCAAAACTCCTGAAAGTAGAAAAATGAGTCCTTACGTTTAGGAGAAGAACTATTTAAATTACAATAGATTTCTAGTGAGAAACCACGGAAGTCAGAAGGAAGTTGAATAATATTTTAAAGAGCTGAAAGAACGGACCTGTCCATCAGTGAAAATATCTCTCAGGAATGAAGGGGTAATAAAGACATTATCAGAATTATCAGATTAAGTCCAACTAAGACAATTTCTTGCCAGCAGACCTATCCCAAAAGAATAGCTAAATAAAGTTCTTGAAATAAAAAGGGAATGAGAAAATAAGGAAACTTGGAACATCAATAAGGAAGATAGAACAATGGCAGAAGTACAAATGTGGGAAAGTATGATAGATATTTCCTACATTATATTTGATGGTTGAAGCAAAAGTTGTAATATTATGTGATATGCTTGTCAATGTAGGTAGAAGGTATATTTAATGTAATTATGAATGGGGAGGGTAAAGGGACCTAAAGGAAGCTAAGTTTTCTATAATTTTTTCAAGCTAGTGAAATGTTGACACCAGGCACTCTTTGAAAGGTATTTATGTAAATGTTATAGCTAGAGCAACCATTATAAATATAGTTAAAGAAATGCACTAAAAATAATATGGATAAATAAAATGGAATTCTAAATATAATTGTGTAACATGCAGGAAGGCTAGACAAAATATAAAACCATAAAATAGAGGACAGACAGAAAACAAAAATGAAATGGCAGACATAAGTCCTGACATATAAATGAATATGTTGAATGTAAATGGTCTAAATATACCAATTAGAAAACATCATTGGTAGAATGTACCTTAAAAGTTACCAAAATGTATGCTGTCAAGAAATTATTTTGGAGTAACCTCAGAGCAATGGTGATGTGAGAGATACCCTTGGCCTCTACCCTGAAAGTTCAACAAATTAACCAACAGTCATTCAACAAAGAATTCCCTACTCAACACAGAGACATTCCTGAGAGACTCATGCTTCAAAACATATAATGGTGGACAACTGGTAATAAGCAGGGAAGCAAGAAGGGAGAAGAGCTCAGACAGCCCACAGCAGCAGCCCTACAGCCAGGAGCTCAGTGCAAGGCAGAGGGAAGGAAGCCAGTGGCAGCAGGCACTTCCTTCTGCTGGGAGGAACAGAGAGCTGTGGGGCCCCAGCAGGGTGAGCAGAGTGTGTGTTTCTGACAAAGAAATGGAACCACAGAGCCCTCCTAACTCTTGGACTCCCAAAACTTACCTCTGTTGCCCTTGGTTTCTGGTCTAGAAACATTTTACCTTTGATCCCTGGGTTTGGTGCTTGGGAGTGGACCCCTCTGAGCTCACCTCGCTATTATAGTGAGAACAAAACAAGCCCCACCTCCAAGCAGCTCTGCTGTACTGTCCTATGGAAACCACGGAGGCTCAGTCTGGGAGATCACAGAGGTAAAAAAAAATAAAAAATAAAAAATCTTGAGATTCAGCACCATCTACTGGAAAATAGTAGAACAACTTTAGGGAGCACTGCTACAGAAGAGAAATGTATGCCTAGAAAAAGGAGAGAAGCAAATACCATGAATAACCATGGTAATGAGGATGATAAAAAGAAAATGAAAAATCACCAGAAAGCAAGCTGGGACACATGGAAAAATATGTGAAATAATTGGCAGAGCTTTCAAGATTGCAGTTCAAAAAGTACTCAACAACATGAGAGGAAATATAGACCGGCAATTCAGTGCACTCAGAAAACAAATCGATGAACAAAATGAGTANAGCTTTCAAGATTGCAGTTCAAAAAGTACTCAACAACATGAGAGGAAATACAGACCGGCAATTCAGTGCACTCAGAAAACAAATCAATGAACAAAACGAGTGNGCTTTCAAGATTGCAGTTCAAAAAGTACTCAACAACATGAGAGGAAATATAGACCGGCAATTCAGTGCACTCAGAAAACAAATCGATGAACAAAATGAGTACTTTACCAAAGAGATTGGAACTTTAGAAAAGAACCAATCTGAAACCCTGGATATGAAACATGCAATTAAGGAGATGAGGAATGAGCTACTGAGCATAGAAAACAGAGCCAAGCTGATGGAGGAAAGAATTAGTGATATCAAAGAAGGGAGTTTAGAAATGACAGAGGGAAGAAGAGAGAGACCTGAGCACAAAGAAAAGTGAAAGAGCTCTACAAGAATTAACTGACTCTATCAGAAAAAGCAATATTAGAACAATAGACATTCTGGAAGAGAGGGAGAAGGGAACAGAGTCTATTCAAACAAAGAGTGGATGAAAACTTCCCAAATCTATGGAAAGAACTAGACCCTCAAATCCAAGAAGCAGACAGAGCACCTAGTTACTTCAATCCAAAAGGGTCCTCTCCAAGGTACATTGTATTAAAACTGTCAAAAATTAATGACAAAGAAAAAGTTCTCAAAGCAACCAGAGAAAAACAGAAGTAACCTATGAAGGAAAAACCAATCAGAGTTTCATCCAACATCTCAGCAGAAACTCTGTAAGCCAGAAGTGACTGAAACCAAATATTCAAATATCTGAAAGACAGAAATCACCAGCCATGAATAATATATCCAGCAAAATTATCCTTTAAATATTTCCTGGCCAGGTGTGGCTCAGAGGTTGAGCATTGACCTAGGATCCAGGCGATCGGGGTTCAATTCCCGGTCAGGGCACATGCCTGGGTTGTGGGCTCGATCCCCAGTCAGGAACATGCAAGAGGCAGCTGATCAATGACTCTCTCATCGATGTTTCTATCTCTCTCTCTCCCTCTCCTTTCCTCTCTCTGAAATCGATAAAGATATATTTTAAAAATAAGTAAATAATAAATATGAAGATGTTCCCAGACATACAGAAGCTGAGAGATTTAATAACCAGAAAACCTCCATTGCAGGAAATACCCAAAGGAGTTATACTACCTGAAAGAAAGAACATAAGGTCACAACACTAAGAGTAAGATCACCAAAAAACTTACAGCATAAACACAGATAATTTGTGACAACAAAACCATAAAGGGACCTGGGAAAAGGTCTGAGCTGGCAAAGGAGGATGAGCATGAGATGCACTCGAAGGAAAAAAATATATTGTATACGTGCAGCTTTATTTTTTATAAACCTAATGGTAACCACACACAAAATCCCCAAACCAAAACACATATGTTACACAAAGAGGATNTACGTGCAGCTTTATTTTTTATAAACCTAATGGTAACCACACACAAAATCGCCAAACCAAAACACATATGTTACACAAAGAGGACCCAGAGGAAAGAAGTGTGAAACACCACCAAACAAAAGCAACAGACAGAAGAACAAAGGAAAAGAACCAATGGAGGCACAGAGCTACCAGAAAACAAAAGAGAAAATGGCTACAGGAAATGCTCAGACATCAATAATTACCCTAAATGAAAATGGTCTGAATTCACCAATAAAGAGGCACAGAGTAGCAGAGTGGATCAAAAAAAACAAAACCTAACCATATGTGCCTACAAGAGATGCACCTAAGTTAGAGAGACAAAGGGAGACTCAAAGTAAAAGGGTGGAAATGATGCTCAAGCAAATAATATCCAGCAAAAAGTAGGTGTAGCCATACTTATATTTGACAAAATATAAGACAACAAAGATAACAGGAGACAAAGATGGACAATTTATTTCTTATTTTTATATTTTTTTATTTATCTTTATTGTTGAAAGTTTTACAGATATCCCCTCTTTTCCCCCCATTGATCCCTTCCACACCACATCTGCACCCCCAAGCCTTCATCACACTATTGTCTGTGTCCATGGATTATGAATATACACATAAAAGTATTTTGATTAATCTTTCCCCACCCTCGCCTTCCCTCCGAGATCCCTCAGTCT